TTCCTCCTCCTCCTCCTCCTCCTCCTCCTCCTCCTCATCACCCGTCCTCTCCCCCCCCCTCCCCCCCTCCCCCTCCTCTATACTCCCTTCCCCCCTCCTCCTCCTCATTTCCTCCGCCTGCCTCATCCTCATCATCATCATCCCCTCCTCCTCGCTCCCCCTCCCTCCTTCCTCTCCTCCTCCTCCTCCTCCTCAACTCCTCCCCCTCCCTCCCTCCCTTCCTCTCCTCCTCCCTCCTCGTCCCCGTCCTCCTCCTCCTCCTCCCCCCCCCTCCCCCCCTCCCTCCCTCTATACTCTGCGCGTGGCTGACCTCATCATTTCCTTCCTCCTCCTCTCATCATCATCATCGTCCCCTCCTCCTCCCCCTCCCTCCTCATCATCATCGTCCCTCCTCCCGCCTCCTGCCTCCTCTGCCCCCCCCTTCCCTCCCTCCTCCTCCTCCTCCTCCTCCTCCTCCTCCCCGTCCTCCTCCTCCTCCTCCTCCTACTCCTCCTCCTCCCTCATTCCCTGCCTCACTCCCCCCCCTCCCCGCCTCCTGCTCCTCCTCCTCCTCCTCCTCATCCTGCTGCTCCTCCCCCTGCTCCTCCTCCTTTTCCTCCTCCTCCTTAATGTCATTCTCAGCATCATCATCATCGTCGTCGTCCTCATCTTTAAGATCATCATCATCAGCATCACCATCGGCAACATCTTCATCATCGAAAGCATCAGCATTATCAGCATCATCGTCATCATCAACGTCATCATCATCATCGTCACCATCCGTTTCTGTTGTGGCGCAAGCTGCGTGGTAGCCCTAGCTGCGGCGAAAGTTGCAGATCCCGAATCCGTTTGCGCGGCGGGAGCTGCGGTAGTTGGGCGGCGAGAGCTGACCGCGACACTCGCGCAGTGGAGCAGCGGGAGTGGATTCATTGGTGGCTGCCTCGCGGCGGCGAGGGCCATCCCTGCCCCAGCTCCGCGCCCCCCCCCCCCCCCCCCCCCTGGCGAGAGGGCGGGCATTGTGGGGAGCGAAATCTGGCGGGGCATTTTTGGCGAGGGCCCGGACGCCGGGCGTCCTCGGGACGACGGGGGTGAGGGGCCCCTCGTTTTCCGCCTCAGCACCAGGGGCCCGAGCGGCGTAGTGCCATTTTTTGGCCCCTGGTTCCATGCAGGGCGACGGCGCGGCAGCCTCAGCTGACATTCAGGCGAGAGTGGTTGGCGTCGCCAGTCGGGCGGGGCCATATGCACTAGTAGATTGGATCGTGTCGGACTTGACTACAAATCTCCTGGAACAGCATAATGGGCCAGCGTTGCGACAGCTTGGCGCCGCGATATTGCCTCTCAGCAGTTTCGAGTTGCACGACGTCGATGTGGTCGAAGAGAAGCCGGCTCTTCTGATCCATGGGTGCGTGTGGCCGCCGGTCGAGTGTTTCGCATACCTCGAGCAGCTGATGACTAAGTGCTCGGGCAGACAACCAACTCACACGGAGAGGTGCCGCTTCTACGAAACGTTAGTCTTCGAAGCGATTGCAGGTCAAGTTCCTGGAGGTACGGTTGTCAGCATATGTCGGCAGTCTGAGCATATCGCACCAGGAGCCACGCCGGCGGTTCTGGCGACGCTCGGCCACATTCCAGGCTATCAGCCAATGAGATGACATTTGGGACCCAACGGGGAGCTTCAGCCGTTACAGGACGGCGACGCTCTTGTGGCACGAGTGTCGACTACGGGACCAATCGACCCCCAGGCTTACATGGGCAGGCGCGGGGACCTCGACCTAGTCGAAATGTGCACCGTGGCATCGACCAACAACATGCGCGTCATATTCCTTGGCGAACTCAACGGGGGGCTCAGCATGGGTTGCGCGATGGGCATGCTGTACAACCAGTTCCAGCCTACGCCGATGAAGGACTGACTGGACTAAGCCAGCTCGGGCGCTCAGAGTACTCGGGGGGTACGTGGGCACGTATGAGGACTTCGTCGAACACGAAATCTGGTTGGGCGTTTCGTCGCCCGCATGTGGTGCGAAAACCAGGACATGGCGGCGGGCATTTGGTGTGATGGCCAGGCTGCGTGGGTGGGTCCCCCGCCCCGGGTCCACGTCTCATCTCTCCGGTTTTCTGGGATCCGATATTCTTTGAGTTGAAGTAATCTGGCCACCATCGCCTGAGCCATCCTCGCACTTGCTTCCCGCCGAAATTTGCCCCGCCAGATTTTGCCTCCCGCGCGGCTGCTGCCATCGCCATCATTATCATCAGCATGACCTTCCTCATCCTCCTCCTGAGACATCCTCGCAACGCTGATCTCTGATATGCCCTGCCCCAAATTGTGCTGGCCATTTCCGCCCACGCAAAAACTCGCCTCGTTCACCTGGGGGGGATGTGCCCAGCTTTGAAATAGTCTGACCCCCGATCTGCCCCGGGATGCGATGTTCAGACAACTTTCGCCCGGGGCGCCCTCGCACTTCTGACTTCGGAGGTGCCCTACCCCATGGCGGTCCGACCACGTTCGCCTGCGACATCCTCGCAACAGCGGCTTCCGAGACGCCTATAGCTGACCTCTTCAGGCCACTTTCGTCTGAGACGACGACCTCGCATATGCCCTGCCCCAAGTTGGTTCGGCCACTGTCGCCTGAGACCCTCGCAGGCCCTGCACTACCCGCGCGAAGCATCGCGCGCGGCGGGAGATGCTCGGACCCCTGCAGGACTCCGTCCGCACCAGAGACTCAGGCTGATCAAGCCGAGCCGCCCCAGAGCGGGGTGCGCCGTCCGCGCCAGAGCCAAACGCAAAACTCACGCCGTCGCCGTCGCCGTCGTCGTCGTGGCGGGGGACTGACAACCAGCCGATAAACCGATTAACCGATATGCGGCACAAGGATCGCCTCCACAGGTTCCCCCCCAGCGGTCTCAGACCAGCCAGTCAACCGATGAACCGATAAACCGATAAACCGACGAAGAGAGGGGGGCGCGCCAGCAATCGCCTCTATGTTTGCATACGAAGATGATCCGTTTTTCGGTTGAGCGACCGATCCACCGATAAACCGATCAAATTATATCGGTTTTTTCGGTTGATCGGTTTGCAAACCGTTCAACCGATTAGTTTTTATCGGTTGATCGGTTTATCGGTCGGATGGATTTCCGGAAGCCGTTGCCGCTGCACTCGCAAATCCCATATGTTTTTGGACCCTGACCCCGCGGATCTGCGTGAGGGGTGGCACCGAATTTCAGAATTGTGGCACATCCCATATGTTTTTGGACCCTGACCCCGCGGATCTGCGTCAGGGGTGGGTTTGAATTTCAGAATTGTGGCAACTCCAATGTGTTTTTGGACCCTGACCCCGCGGATCTGCGTGAGGGGTGGCACCGAATTTCAGAAATGTGGCAAATCGCATATGTTTTTGGACCCTGACCCCGCGGATCTGCGTGAGGGGTGGCACAGAATTTCAGAAATGTGGCAAATCCAATATGTTTTTGGACCCTGACCCCGCGGGTCTGCGTGAGGGGTGGCACCGAATTTCAGAAATGTGGCAAACCCCATATGTTTTTGGACCCTGACCCCGCGGATCTGCTTCAGGGGTGGGTTCGAATTTCAGAAATGTCCCTGACCCTGACCCCGCGATCTGAGGGGTGGTGAGAAATGGGCAGGGACCCTGACCCCGCGGATCTGCGTGAGGGGTGGCACCGAATTCAGAAATGTAGCAAATCCCATGTGTTTTGGACCCTGACCCCGCGGATCTGCGTGAGGGGTGGCACCGAATTTCAGAAATGTGGCAAATCCCATGTGTTTTTGGACCCTGACCCCGCGGATCTGCGTGAGGGGTGGCACCGAATTTCAGAAATGTGGCAAATCCCTTGTGTTTTTGGACCCTGACCCCGCGGATCTGCGTGAGGGGTGGCACCGAATTTCAGAAATGTGGCAAATCCCATGTGTTTTTGGACCCTGACCCCGCGGATCTGCGTGAGGGGTGGCACCGAATTTCAGAAATGTAGCACATCCCATGTGTTTTTGGACCCTGACCCCGCGGATCTGCGTGAGGGGTGGCACCGAATTTCAGAAATGTGGCAAATCCTATGTTTTTTTGGACCCTGACCCCGCGGATCTGCGTGAGGGGTGTCGATTTCGAGCCCCCCCAGCAATTCAGACAACGCGCCCAGGTGAGGCTAAAAGTCTTTTTTGGGCCTCCCCCCCCCCCTCGCGCGGTCATTCAACTAGTTACAGTAACAAGCAAGAGGTCAACTAGTTACAGTAACCAGCAAGAAGCAGAACTGCAACACTGGAAACTACAAGCTACAACCGGTACTGGAAGCTGCGAACCCGTGCCTACAGCCTGGTGGCCCCACAGGGGGGCCGGCGGATCTGTGAGCGCCCGCCTGACCGCGCCAGGGGCCTACTCCTTTAGTATGAGACCATCCCGAAACGACCCTCAACGAGAAAAATTGTTCCAGGGATGAAGTCGAGGAAGTTGGTGGCCCGCGTCGTGAAAAAAACGGCATCGGATGTACGTGTGGCGCACGCATGGGGAACGCCACGGTTGCTGCCCGTGGGCCAAGGTGTTCAGAAGTGTTCGTTCGGCAGCGGTGGCTTGGAAGGTCCAAACGCAAAGACACACACACAAACACAAACACACACGCACAAACACACGCACACACACACGCACACACACGCACACGCACACACGCAAACACACAAACACACACACACACACACAAACACACACACACACACACACGCACACACACACACACACACGCACACACACACACACACACTCGCACTCACGCACGCACGCACGCACACACGCACACGCGCACACGCACGCGCACGCGCACACATACACACACATACTCACACACACACACACACTGCGTTTGTATGGGTGTGTGGCTTCGGATAAATGTACACATTTGCGTGCTGAGCCAAGGCTATTATACGACGTCGCCTAGCTCCTAACCATGGCCACGGCTCTCAATTGGCACGCCTGCGTGGCGTCCAGACAACGCATAGTCTTAGAATAGTTGCAAGGCAGCGTGTCTGACCCATCAGTTTGAAGTAGATCATTTCCGTAGCCATTCTGGCTCAAGCCATTCTGACTCAAGGCAAGATATCAAACAACAAGGCGCTGCTGCATTGAACCACCAAGTTTGCAACAGCAGAAGATGCGCGGAATTGTCTTCACACTCGGATGCGCTATTGCAGTCGCCGCAGGCAGCACGAATTGTTCTGATGGCACGGGGCAGACGTCCTTCGACATGTACATGCCTTACCACGATGTTAACATCACGGTGCCTGCCATCGACCAGACCGTGGCCGAGTACGAGTACGCTGGCGACAACGCACTGGTTGCCATCCCAGCCGCGTGTTACAAGAAAGAGGCGGAGTTCTTCGGCTCGGCGTCCAACTTCGCGGACCGCGCACCGGACGGTCCGGACGGCATGTTCTATTTCCGCATCAGCGACCCAGACACGGAGTACGCGAAATTGGCGAGCATGACGGATTGTTCGAGCGGGCTGGTGGTGTTGTTGCACGGCACGTCAGGGGTGATTTGGAACCCGGTGTCCTACGCCGCCACGCTTTCGGGGCTCGGGTGGGTGGTGGTGCTCCCCGACAGCCAGTCGCAGCCGGCTGAGATGGGGTACAAGGGCGCCATCAGTTTGAAGAACACATCAGAGATCGACACCTCCAACTACTGCGGCGCCATGGATGCTTACAACGAGCGTGCGAGCACTTGGTCGAAGCCGTTCATGTACTCCACCAGTGCGGAGAACATCCTCAACAACGGCGCCAAGTACGCCGAGTACATGGAGCGCAACTACCGCATCCGAGCGCTGGAGATGGACGCGTTCGTGTCCAAACGCGAGAGCCTGCTGTCTGCATTCTTCACAGCCTCCAAGGTGTTCCTGCTGGGCCGCAGCGAGGGCGGCGCGGTGGCCGGGCGCTACTACAACGAGGCCCTGCACAGCAAGCTGAGCGGCATCATCCTCTCGGGGTGGAGCTGCGACTTTAACTACTTTGTGAGCTGCGCAGAGAATGCGCTCATCTGCGAGGACCGGTGCTCCAAGGACATCCCCGTGCTGAATGTGGTGGGGGAGACCGACTCCTACTTCGCTTCGAGCAGCTCCGTGTCCGCGGACGTGGCGGCGGGCGCGACCGGGTACGGCGGCCCCATCACTGGCAATTGCAAGGCGGCCATGGACGCGCAGGGCTTCTCCGGCCACGTGGTGGTCATGGAGGGCGCGGGGCACAGCTTCCTCTACACGCACGACAACGCGTGGCGCTCCGTGCTGGGCGACTTCTTGGCCTGCCCCACTGCCACGTCCCTGCCGTCCTTGCAGAGGCCCGGGTGCCAGGAGCAGGACGGAGTCTACACCTGCGATGCCCTCAGCGAGTCGTCCCCGTGCGTCGACTGGGAAGTGAACACGTCCGTGGCCCTCGTCGGGGCAATCTCGGGCAGCTGCGTCGCAGAATGTTCTGATGGCACGGGGCAGACGTCCTTCGACATGTACATGCCCTACCACGATGTGAGCATAACGGTGCCTGCCATCGACCAGACCGTGGCCAAGTACGAGTACGCTGGCGACAACGCACTGGTTGCCATCCCAGCCGCGTGTTACCAGAAAGAGGCGGAGTTCTTCGGCTCGGCGTCCAACTTCGCGGACCGCGCACCGGACGGTCCGGACGGCATGTTCTATTTCCGCATCAGCGACCCAGACACGGAGTACGCGAAATTGGCGAGCATGACGGATTGTTCGAGCGGGCTGGTGGTGTTGTTGCACGGCACGTCAGGGGTGATTTGGAACCCGGTGTCCTACGCCGCCACGCTTTCGGGGCTCGGGTGGGTGGTGGTGCTCCCCGACAGCCAGTCGCAGCCGGCTGAGATGGGGTACAAGGGCGCCATCAGTTTGAAGAACACATCAGAGATCGACACCTCCAACTACTGCGGCGCCATGGATGCTTACAACGAGCGTGCGAGCACTTGGTCGAAGCCGTTCATGTACTCCACCAGTGCGGAGAACATCCTCAACAACGGCGCCAAGTACGCCGAGTACATGGAGCGCAACTACCGCATCCGAGCGCTGGAGATGGACGCGTTCGTGTCCAAACGCGAGAGCCTGCTGTCTGCATTCTTCACAGCCTCCAAGGTGTTCCTGCTGGGCCGCAGCGAGGGCGGCGCGGTGGCCGGGCGCTACTACAACGAGGCCCTGCACAGCAAGCTGAGCGGCATCATCCTCTCGGGGTGGAGCTGCGACTTTAACTACTTTGTGAGCTGCGCAGAGAATGCGCTCATCTGCGAGGACCGGTGCTCCAAGGACATCCCCGTGCTGAATGTGGTGGGGGAGACCGACTCCTACTTCGCTTCGAGCAGCTCCGTGTCCGCGGACGTGGCGGCGGGCGCGACCGGGTACGGCGGCCCCATCACTGGCAATTGCAAGGCGGCCATGGACGCGCAGGGCTTCTCCGGCCACGTGGTGGTCATGGAGGGCGCGGGGCACAGCTTCCTCTACACGCACGACAACGCGTGGCGCTCCGTGCTGGGCGACTTCTTGGCCTGCCCCACTGCCACGTCCCTGCCGTCCTTGCAGAGGCCCGGGTGCCAGGAGCAGGACGGAGTCTACACCTGCGATGCCCTCAGCGAGTCGTCCCCGTGCGTCGACTGGGAAGTGAACACGTCCGTGGCCCTCGTCGGGGCAATCTCGGGCAGCTGCGTCGCAGAATGTTCTGATGGCACGGGGCAGACGTCCTTCGACATGTACATGCCCTACCACGATGTGAGCATAACGGTGCCTGCCATCGACCAGACCGTGGCCAAGTACGAGTACGCTGGCGACAACGCACTGGTTGCCATCCCAGCCGCGTGTTACCAGAAAGAGGCGGAGTTCTTCGGCTCGGCGTCCAACTTCGCGGACCGCGCACCGGACGGTCCGGACGGCATGTTCTATTTCCGCATCAGCGACCCAGACACGGAGTACGCGAAATTGGCGAGCATGACGGATTGTTCGAGCGGGCTGGTGGTGTTGTTGCACGGCACGTCAGGGGTGATTTGGAACCCGGTGTCTTACGCCGCCACGCTTTCGGGGCTCGGGTGGGTGGTGGTGCTCCCCGACAGCCAGTCGCAGCCGGCTGAGATGGGGTACAAGGGCGCCATCAGTTTGAAGAACACGTCAGAGATTGACACTTCCAACTACTGCGGCGCCATGGATGCTTACAACGAGCGTGCGAGCACTTGGTCGAAGCCGTTCATGTACTCCACCAGTGCGGAGAACATCCTCAACAACGGCGCTAAGTACGCCGAGTACATGGAGCGCAACTACCGTATCCGAGCGCTGGAGATGGACGCGTTCGTGTCCAAACGCGAGAGCCTGCTGTCTGCATTCTTCACAGCCTCCAAGGTGTTCCTGCTGGGCCGCAGCGAGGGCGGCGCGGTGGCCGGGCGCTACTTACTACCTACAACGAGCCCTTGCACAGCAAGCTGAGCGGCATCATCCTCTCTCGTGGTGGAGCTGCGAACTTTAAACTACTTTGCTGAAGCTCTCAGAGAATGCGCTCGATCTGCGAGGACCGTGCTCCAAGGACATCCCGTGCTGATGTGGTGGGGAGAACCGACTCCGACTTCGCTCGAGCAGCTCTGTGTCCGCGGACCTGCGGCGGTCGGCGACGGGTCGGGCCGGCCCCATCACTGGCAATTGCAAGGCGGCCATGGAGTGGCAGGGCTTCGGCGGCCACGGTGTTGGTCATGGAGGGCGCGGGGGGCGACAGCTTCCTCTACCGCACGAACAACGCGTGGCGCTCCGGCTGGGGGCGACTTCTTGTGGCTGCCCCACATGCCACGTCCCTGCCGTCCTTGCAGAGGCCCGGGTGCCAGGAGCAGGACGGAGTCTACACCTGCGATGCCCTCAGCGAGTCGTCCCCGTGCGTCGACTGGGAAGTGAACACGTCCGTGGCCCTCGTCGGGGCAATCTCGGGCAGCTGCGTCGCAGAATGTTCTGATGGCACGGGGCAGACGTCCTTCGACATGTACATGCCCTACCACGATGTGAGCATAACGGTGCCTGCCATCGACCAGACCGTGGCCAAGTACGAGTACGCTGGCGACAACGCACTGGTTGCCATCCCAGCCGCGTGTTACCAGAAAGAGGCGGAGTTCTTCGGCTCGGCGTCCAACTTCGCGGACCGCGCACCGGACGGTCCGGACGGCATGTTCTATTTCCGCATCAGCGACCCAGACACGGAGTACGCGAAATTGGCGAGCATGACGGATTGTTCGAGCGGGCTGGTGGTGTTGTTGCACGGCACGTCAGGGGTGATTTGGAACCCGGTGTCTTACGCCGCCACGCTTTCGGGGCTCGGGTGGGTGGTGGTGCTCCCCGACAGCCAGTCGCAGCCGGCTGAGATGGGGTACAAGGGCGCCATCAGTTTGAAGAACACGTCAGAGATTGACACCTCCAACTACTGCGGCGCCATGGATGCTTACAACGAGCGTGCGAGCACTTGGTCGAAGCCGTTCATGTACTCCACCAGTGCGGAGAACATCCTCAACAACGGCGCTAAGTACGCCGAGTACATGGAGCGCAACTACCGTATCCGAGCGCTGGAGATGGACGCGTTCGTGTCCAAACGCGAGAGCCTGCTGTCTGCATTCTTCACAGCCTCCAAGGTGTTCCTGCTGGGCCGCAGCGAGGGCGGCGCGGTGGCCGGGCGCTACTACAACGAGGCCCTGCACAGCAAGCTGAGCGGCATCATCCTCTCGGGGTGGAGCTGCGACTTTAACTACTTTGTGAGCTCCTCAGAGAATGCGCTCATCTGCGAGGACCGGTGCTCCAAGGACATCCCCGTGCTGAATGTGGTGGGGGAGACCGACTCCTACTTCGCTTCGAGCAGCTCCGTGTCCGCGGACGTGGCGGCGGGCGCGACCGGGTACGGCGGCCCCATCACTGGCAATTGCAAGGCGGCCATGGACGCGCAGGGCTTCTCCGGCCACGTGGTGGTCATGGAGGGCGCGGGGCACAGCTTCCTCTACACGCACGACAACGCGTGGCGCTCCGTGCTGGGCGACTTCTTGGCCTGCCCCACTGCCACGTCCCTGCCGTCTTTGCAGAGGCCCGGGTGCCAGGAGCAGGACGGAGTCTACACCTGCGATGCCCTCAGCGAGTCGTCCCCGTGCGTCGACTGGGAAGTGAACACGTCCGTGGCCCTCGTCGGGGCAATCTCGGGCAGCTGCGTCGCAGAATGTTCTGATGGCACGGGGCAGACGTCCTTCGACATGTACATGCCCTACCACGATGTGAGCATACGGTGCCTGCCATCGACCAGACCGTGGCCAAGTACGAGTACGCTGGCGACAACGCACTGGTTGCCATCCCAGCCGCGTGTTACCAGAAAGAGGCGGAGTTCTTCGGCTCGGCGTCCAACTTCGCGGACCGCGCGCCGGACGGTCCGGACGGCATGTTCTATTTCCGCATCAGCGACCCAGACACGGAGTACGCGAAATTGGCGAGCATGACGGATTGTTCGAGCGGGCTGGTGGTGTTGTTGCACGGCACGTCAGGGGTGATTTGGAACCCGGTGTCTTACGCCGCCACGCTTTCGGGGCTCGGGTGGGTGGTGGTGCTCCCCGACAGCCAGTCGCAGCCGGCTGAGATGGGGTACAAGGGCGCCATCAGTTTGAAGAACACGTCAGAGATTGACACCTCCAACTACTGCGGCGCCATGGATGCTTACAACGAGCGTGCGAGCACTTGGTCGAAGCCGTTCATGTACTCCACCAGTGCGGAGAACATCCTCAACAACGGCGCTAAGTACGCCGAGTACATGGAGCGCAACTACCGTATCCGAGCGCTGGAGATGGACGCGTTCGTGTCCAAACGCGAGAGCCTGCTGTCTGCATTCTTCACAGCCTCCAAGGTGTTCCTGCTGGGCCGCAGCGAGGGCGGCGCGGTGGCCGGGCGCTACTACAACGAGGCCCTGCACAGCAAGCTGAGCGGCATCATCCTCTCGGGGTGGAGCTGCGACTTTAACTACTTTGTGAGCTGCGCAGAGAATGCGCTCATCTGCGAGGACCGGTGCTCCAAGGACATCCCCGTGCTGAATGTGGTGGGGGAGACCGACTCCTACTTCGCTTCGAGCAGCTCCGTGTCCGCGGACGTGGCGGCGGGCGCGACCGGGTACGGCGGCCCCATCACTGGCAATTGCAAGGCGGCCATGGACGCGCAGGGCTTCTCCGGCCACGTGGTGGTCATGGAGGGCGCGGGGCACAGCTTCCTCTACACGCACGACAACGCGTGGCGCTCCGTGCTGGGCGACTTCTTGGCCTGCCCCACTGCCACGTCCCTGCCGTCCTTGCAGAGGCCCGGGTGCCAGGAGCAGGACGGAGTCTACACCTGCGATGCCCTCAGCGAGTCGTCCCCGTGCGTCGACTGGGAAGTGAACACGTCCGTGGCCCTCGTCGGGGCAATCTCGGGCAGCTGCGACCCGGGCGACGAAAACGAAGCCTCTGCGGCTGCCCGCACGGCCAATGCTCTTGCTGCCGCACTTGGGCCGCTGGCTGCGCTGTGGTGGGCAGCGTAAACAACAACCGCATACCGCACATCAAAATCCACAGCGCTTAGTTCGATGCCAGCTCCCCTTGCTCCTTGGCGGGTAGTTTTCTCTCGAGTACGATGCCGATCCCGTCAGGTTGCGACCATGGTTGGGCGCGTTTTGCAGGCCACCGGCCCTCGTTTCAGCGCATCATGTTTCCAATTCATGACCGTTCTGGGTTGCGGTTTTTTGTAGATATCCTTCTTTGGTATCTAATCTTTTTCTCTATATCCAGCGAGCCCGACTGCCCTCCAGGGGCCCTGGCGCGGGCGACCCCCGCACCGCTGCTTCCGCTTCCGCTTCCGCTTCTCTCATTCCGGGGCTCCTTCTGATTAGGGGCCTCATGGGGCCTTCAAGGGGTCTCCTGGGCTCTCTTGGGGGCCTCTTGGCCATTTGGGGTTGCGGTTTTGTAGATATCTTTATTTTGGGTTCCGGTTTTGTAGATATCCTTATTTGGTATTGAACCGCTTCGCTCCTTCTGGGGCTCCTTCTGAACCTCTCAGGGCCCTCCAAGGGGCCTCCAGGGGGCCTCCTGGTCTCTCTTGGGGGACCCCTTGGCGCCTCGTGGGGGCTCTTCTTGGGGCAGCGCTCCCCCCTCCCCTGACCTTCTCCTCCTCTCAGGAGGGAGAAAAAAACACAGACACAATTAATCGTGGATTTCCCAGAAAATATGCTAAAATATGGGAAATGGGGGGGAAGACAAAAAGCCAGAACATATGTAAAATATGGGAATATTTCTATTTGTGTGTTCCAGGGCCCCCTCCTGTTCGTTCTTCCGCATGAAGGGCTGCGCCCAGTTAGAGCGCCAAAGTGCTGAGTAGCAGTACGTTGCTCGGACAGGCCCAGCGGTAGCAGTCGATGGAGTCGGCAGCTCCTCCGCGCGGCACCTCGCCACTTGCTCTCGGCATGGGCGCTCCAGGAACCAATTTTCGTCACCCGCAGCCCCGTGCTTGTGATCGCTTGCTAAACATGGTGAAGCCAAGAGAGGAGGAGGAGGAGGAACAGGAGGAGGACTCCCGAGCGAACCAACGGCACTGTACAAAACGCCGCCCTTCGCAACAGAGTCACCTGGCTTTCCGGCCCTCTCCGGCCTGCCACAGCTGGCCGACGGAGCTTGAACGTTCCGCTGCCAGGGGAATTCCTCCCTTTTTGTGAGTTTCAATGCCCGGACGGCCCTTTCGGCTAAGAAAAGGCCCTGCCATTGCATCATATGCCACCGGGCAGGCGGTTATTAAGTTATGAAGGAGGTCCTCGGATCTGCTCGCGCAGCTACCTCTGCCGAAACAGGCAGCCGCTGTTGAGGTTCTGGCCAGGGTCACGTTGCACACAAAAAGAAAATTGAAGTAGATCATTGGTCCCGGGGCCGTTGGCGTAAGCTCAGGGTGAACGCCGCGAACGCTCTTGTGTCATGATTCCTGCAGTTGCAAGGGACACCCGTGTGAAGCTTTCCGACAAGTGAAACAGGCGGAAGCTGTGAATTTATGCTTGCAGCGCCAATGTGCACAGATGTTAAGACAGCAGTTCTCGAGTGCAGCTGAAGCAGTGGATGTCTGCGAAGCACTGCTCGCTTCCTCTCGAGGTCGACGCGTGTGGCAAGCTGAGGGCCCTGTGCGTGCGGAGCTCAGCTGAGCTCGGCTGTCGATCAGTCCAGGCACGGCCGCCTCCTCTGCCAACGTGCCTTGCGCATTTGCTGTTCTCACAACGCCGTCTATCATTTCCTGGCATCTTGTTGTGTGCTTCCCATGCGATCCTAGAGGTTCGTGCCGACCCCAGGACATATCGTTACACGTAGCACCCAATCATCTCAGATAAGAGTGAGGGGGGCCAGGATTTAGTGGGCCCCGGAAACGGCAGGGTCGTGTTTTTCACCGTTTCTGAGCAGTTGTTTCTTGAAGATGGAATGACAAAACAACGGCGACCGGAAACGGCAACAACAACGGCTCTGGAGCCAGAGCCAGAGCCGGAGCCGGTAAAGTAACGGCGACGGAACCGGAAACAAAACACGGCGTCGGAACCGACAACAAAAATGGCAGAACGGAACCGCTGAAAAAAACTGCCCCGTCGTTTCCAGGGCCCGTTCAGGCCAGGAGGGATCGTGCGCATCGTTACACGTAGCGCCCCAGAATCGCAGATAAGAATGAGGGGGGCCAGGAGGGAGAGGCAGGAGGAGGAGGAGGAGGAGGAGGAGGAAGAGGAGGGGGAAGCCGAGCTGCGATCAGAGCGTTCTCTCAGGGCGCGCCCTCCTCCCCAGGGCGCGACCTCCCCGCGCGCCCTCCTCCCGGCGCGCCCTGCAGGCGCGCCCCGCCTGCGCGCCCCCCCGGCGCGCCCACCCCGCGCGCCCACCCCGCGCGCGGCCTCCTGGCAGGCCTTCTTTGCGCGCCCTCTTCCCAGGGGTCCCAGCGTGCCCGTCCTCCTCCCTCCTCCTCCTCCTCCTCCTCCTCCTCCTCCTCCTCCTCCTCCTCCTCTTCCTCCTCCTCCTCCCGTAGGATCTGGGTGGGTCACCAGAGGATGTCTGTTGGCGGCCGCCCCGTGGCCGCCCCACGTAGCTTGCGTCGCAGATCATGCGCCACGCAGCCTGTGCCGCACCGCGCGCACCGCGTAGGCGGCAGCCTTGGCATCGCTCGGACGTGTGCACGTTTTCTTTGGCGAGGGCCATCGAGGAGCATCCTCGATCATTTGGCGAGAAAAGGCCACGCACGAAGCCGGAAAAAGCATAGGGAGTGGACCGAGCGATGGCCAGACCCTTCCCAGGGCTCGTTTCGATTCCTCCGCTTCGATCCGATTCCGAGGGCCTCCGATTCCGATTCGATTCGGCTAGGGATTCCGATCTGGGCTCCGATCTCCTCCACGGAGGCCTGCTAAAGCCCGCCGATGTCCGCCGATCCGACTTTTTCCCGGAAAGGGCAAAGGCCCAGGGTTCTCTTTTAGTTTGTTTCCCCCCCGGTTTTGACGGGAAGAGGGCCGGCGGATTTCTTTTGCGATAAATAACGAGTGGGAAGAGGGCCGGCGAACAAGTGGCACGCGTGCCCTGGCTCTTGCACAAAGGAGCTGCTGGAGACAGGAAGCTTTCGCCTCCTTCCTCCAGGAGTTCACTTTTTGTGGCCAGGGCTGGGGGGGGGAGGCTGGGTCCAGGACACCAGAGCCAGCGGGGCCAGGACCAGGACCAGTGGCACCCCAAGAGCCTGGGAAGCCTGGGCGGGGATGGGGCAGGGGGACTAACGACACGACACGACACGAAAATAAACGCGTCCGAGGCCCAGGGGGGCTGCCCTGGGGAGCCTGGACGGGAGGCCCAGGGGGGCTGCCCTGGGGAGCCTGGACGGGGGGCGGCAGGGGGGGGCAGGGGGACGAACGACACGACACGACACGAAAATAAAGATGTACGAGCTCTAGAGCACAGCTGTGCAAGAGAATAAAGTGGTCGGGGCGGAGGGGGCGCTGGGCGGGCGCTGGAGCCGCGGGGGGGCGATGAGACGGCGCGGGGGAGGGGGCGGAGCGGGGGGGGGGTGCGGTGCCGAAATAAACTGGTCGGGGCGGAGGGGGCACTGGGCGGGCGCTGGAGCCGCGGGGGCGCGCTGAGACGGCGCGGGGGAGGGGGCGAAGCGGGGAGGGGGGGTGCGGTGCCGAAATAAAGTGGTCGGGGCGGAGGGATCGCTGGGCGGGCGCTGGAGCCGCGGGGGAGCGCTGAGACGGCGCGGGGGAGGGGGCGGAGCGGGGAGGGGGGGTGCGGTGCCGAAATAAAGTGGTCGAGGCGGAGGGGGCACTGGGCGGGCGCTGGAGCCGCGGGAGGGCATTGGGCGGGCGCTGGATCCGCGCGGGGGCGCTGAGACGGCGCGGGGGAGGGGGCGGAGCGGGGGGGGGGGTGATGATGGTGAGGATGGTGATGATGATGATGGTGATTGTGATGGTGATGATGGTGAGGATGATGGTGATAATGATGATAATGATGATGATGATGATGATGCTGATGATGATGATGATGATGATGATGATGATGATGATGATGATGATGATGATGATTATGATGATGATGATGATGATGAAGGGGGGGGGGTGCGGTGCCGAAATAAAGTGGTCGGAGCTCTAGACACCCTGTGCAAGAGAATAATCAAACAATAGTCAGGGGACTATTTTTTGCGTATTGTTTGACCGTTTTGGTGTATTTTTGGGGTATCTATTATTTTTCGTCGAAAATCCCCGTGTAGGGGGAAAGGCCCGACATAAGGATGGGCTCGGTGGGGGAGGGCGTCGACCCCCGCACGCCCACTCATCGCAAACAGGGCCCTTTGAGCCCACCCCGCCAAGGAGCGCCTCAGCACCCTGGCATCCACTCAGACACCCCTATCCCCTGAGCAACCGCCGCGGGGATCCAAGTGGGGTATCGGCGCGTCGATCCTCTCGGAAAGCCCGCCGGTGAGGCACGGCCGGGCGGTTTTCGGGTCATAGCTCGGGCCTCCAATGGCCGTTTGGGACGATCCGGGCAGCCCCGGAACGCTCTCGGTGAGGCGCAGCTGCTGGAAGGCATCCCGAGGCGACATGACCTCTAAGAACTAACGAAAACGCCCGGACTGAAGAAATACGCCGACCCTTCAGCGTGTGTGAGACGCTGTCGTCCTCGTCGTCGTTGTCGCCAGTCCCAAGGGCATCGAGAAAAGACCTGCCGCAGCCACGCCGCTCCCCTCCCCTCCTTCCCAGGGGCTCTGGGGCTTCCCAGACATCCGACGTCTCGATTCTATCGAGACACGGGCCCCCGACCTCCCGACCACTTCCCCAGGACCGACTTTTCCTCCCGGGTCGTCTCTTGACGGTCCCGAGGCCCGGCGAGGGCCTCTAGAGGCCGAAAAACGACGAAACACCTCCGTCTCGATTTTCTCGAGACGCCCAGTGTCTGGGTTTGCGGCCCCTCGATCCTCCGGAGCCGCTGCAGCGGCCGCCGCCCCTGGGCGCGCCGCCGCCGCGCGCGAGGGCCGCTGCCGGGCGCCGCCGCC